TAAAAATGCCATGAAAACATTTACCTTTACTAGGCAAGGAAGGTTATCTTTGTCACCAAATTGAAAAGTATTCATGGTGGAAGAAGAGCCTGCAGTTTTAAGATCCATAGGTTCTGGTGAAGTGGAAGGAAGTTCATCTCTCTAGCAAAAAATAAACTGATTAGGTCCATCTTCCTACTGAAGTAGGGGTCAAGCTCCCCTCCATTGTTTTTTCTATCCATTACTATACCATACAAGTTTAACCTCATAAAATGAAACTTGCATGTGTTAACATTTTAGATAAGACAGTAAAATACATATAATGCAACATCATAAAAAGTTTAAGAAGCGACTTTTTACCATCTTCTTGGTGATTGGAGAACTTTTAACCTCGTCATCGGGAACCTAAAATAAGATACAACATCTAAGTTCAATTAGGTAAACTACAAATACATTAAAACCCAATAATAAAGGAACCCAGTAAGTAGGCATTATTCTTGAGGAGTTCCAAATGTGTTTAACATACCTTACCCTTCACTAGAGAACAATTCAAAGATTCACCAAAGCAAGTTTATAAACAAAATTCGAACTAATTTGGGGTGAAAATAATCACAAATTATAGGCAAGATCATCACCTCATTTTCAGGAAAAAAAAACATGGAATAGAGACTACCCTATTTTTTTGGTGAACGCGACTAGCCTGTTTTTATGATTGTGTAATATGATTGGGCCATCAAGTTGAGAATGAGACACAACGAAATGACTAGACAAATGGTAAGTAGAGTAAGACCAACCAAATCCATGGGGTCCTTATCTTCACTATCCATCCTACGCCGCTTCTCCCTACTTTGGGATGACCAATTGAAATCCATATCGCAAGAAGGTTCAGTCCATGAACTCTTCCTTGGAACCTAAAGAGACCAATAAATGAACTATAAGAATGTTTATTAGAACCAAGTTTAAACAAGAGAAAAAGAAAACTTCAAACAACGAATTTCCTATCAACTGGTAATCATTTAAACACTACAATTAACCATAAAAACCTCAAAATACAATAAGAGAACTAACAGGAATACAGTAGAGCAAGCGGAGTTCCCAAATACACGTATCAGAAGGTGATTCCATTGTATACTGAGAAATATCCGTGAAGTTTTTGGTACGGCATAAACTCCCACCCTTTATTTAGCAACAGAAAAGAGAAACATCAAACCCATTAATTCAGATTTTTTTAAAGTGAGAATTAAATTTTAGATCAGCAAAGAAACATACATCCCTGTAAGCGCCAACATAGAATTCATATCCCAACATGTCCTGGATCATGCCATGGTAACGGACAAGACTGTTGTGTTGAGCCCATCTCAACGTCTTGGGATTAAGAATGGGAACCTTTGATAGACCCGATTCCTGGAACATGAAGTGGTGGAAGAGTTCAAGGGCACCCCAATCCTTGTGGTGAATGGCGAAACCAGTGGACTGATGCAAAGAGAAAAATGGAAAAAGAGAAAAAGGGGGGAAGCATGCATGCGTGAACTGATTATCGAGGAGGCCATGACAAGAAGCGGGAAAGGATGAAAATAATGGGGGAAATTAAAAGACGACTTTTACAGATGACACAATTAAAAGTCTACTCCGTGTTTTTGCTAAATTTTTTGGATTATAACTATTAAATATGATACACATTATTATCAGTCATAAATCGTTCAGATTTTAAAAAATATGATATTTTTTATGACACATTTTTTGCAAGTCATAAATTAGCGTGTGTCATTAAAGGTATATTTTATTGTAGTGTGAATAACATATGGAAATAAAACATAGCAATATATGATGATATGAGCATAATATATCATATTAATGTTAAGTATAAAATGTAAAGAGAAAAAGAATAAAAAGATTGAGAAAACATCCTTAGTCTTCAATCGTGAATAAGATGTTGTTAAGAAGAGTATTAGGTGCATGAAGGGATTGTATCAAAACATCCTATAATATATATAGGAAGAGTTTGGCCAATCGATTTTATGTAGACGACATGACCTCTAAAAGAAAGTGTATTCTTCTTCCAACCTCGCACACGAGAAGAATCTTATCTCGAATAAAACCAAACACATCATTTATATTACGACCTAAAACAACGTGCATTCCCAAATAAAACCCCGGCTGATTAACACATACAACCCCCATCAAAGAACTGAGATGTGTTCAGAAAGAGGCTTGCTTTGAAGAGCTGAAATAAAGACTAGACTTCGTATAGTTTACCTTCTATCCAGAAGACGCTTTATAAATGTCAAGAACTTTACGAACACGCCGAAACTCATCAACCGAGAGGCGGAGGAAAATACACAGTTATTAGCATATAGGAGATGAGTTATCCGAAGTCCATTCCTACATGTTCGAAGTCCCAAAACACGACTAGCTGTTTGTTACGCATGAAGTAAGGAGGATAAACCTTGAGCACAAAGCACAAACAAGAATGGCGACAATGGATCGCCTTGATGAAGGCCTCGATGTGGAGTAAATGTTTCGTGAGACTTCCATTAATATGAATCTGATAAGTAACATATGTAACACATGACATAATTAGATCAACCCACTGCAAAGTAAATCCAAGTCAAGATAAGATGCCACAGAGGTAGGACCAATCTACGCGATCATACGCCTTCTCCATATCGAGTTTCATAGCTGCCCTTTGGAAGAGGTTGTGGAAGGAAATTTAATATGATGAAAGACCTCATGAGCGATGAGAAAATTATCAGAAATCAACCTACTAGGAATAAAATCTCCCTGCGTTTCATCCACATAGGACGATAAAAAAGGTCGAAGTCTATTGACTAAGACTTTCGAAATAATTTTATACAGCACCGTACATAATGCTATTGGCAAAAACTACTACAACCTAGTTGGTTCAGACACATTTGGAATAAGAACAAGTACAATTCGATTCACTGATTGCATTGAACGAAAACTATACAAGATATCCATGCAAAAAGAGAGCATCTTGTCACCCACAAGTGGCCAAAAAGAGCGATAAAAACTACCTGGTAACCCATCTATACCGAGAGCTTTGTGGAGATGAATTTCTTGAAAGGCAGCATACACTTCTTCTCGTGTATGGGGCTGTGAGAATCTCATTAATTTCTGGACTAACCACTGGTTCAACAGAGGAAAGAAACGTATCAAGTGAAGGCGGCAGAGCAGCTCCAAAGAGGGAGGTGAAGTATCAGACAGCCTCATTATGAATATCATCAGTCTGGTCTATCCAAACACCATCAAAGTCATAAAGGCCATGAATCAAAAAAAAATTATGACGAGATGATGATCGAGCATGAAAATAAACCATATTTTTATCACTATTAGCAAGACAGAATTCTCGATCGTTGACGTCAATAACTCTCCTCTTGAGCTAATCTTCTTTGGAGCTCGTCTTTTAGCTCTCCAATTTGTTCAATTCATCTGGAGACATCAATTGAAGAAAGCTATTTATCTGCTTTCCCAAATCATTGATACGACCCTTGTAACCGCATACTATTCACGTTCTTTTAGAGTGTGGCCAACTGATTGAATCTTCAACACAATATAGATGATCCTTTTACATTCCAAACCTTTTGAACTTTATTAGTACATTATGTATTAGAGCCCAACATTCATCAAATAAAAAATAATCATTTCGAGAGGAAGACAGCGTAGGATACATGGGCGATGTGTCAAGTGTTGTTGGACAATGATCCGAAACTGAACAAAATTCACTGAAAATCGATGCTTGAGGAAACAAAGAGTGCCAGACAGTGGTAGAAATGAATTGGTTCAGGTAATAAAGTGTTGGTTCAACTGAACACATTGAGGCTTGTCTAACCCTGGGGATGTCAAGGTAATAAGAGTTGGTTCAACTGAAATGTCAAGTGTTATGCATATTTAATTATAAATATTTATAATACTATGATATTACTTGATTTCGATTTTTATAAACATATACATTATACAATATATATATATATATATATATATATATATATATATATATATATATTTATTCATATTTTTTATATATGTGATATTAATATATAATACAAAGTTAAGAGACTCGGTTAAAACTCAAAGTCAATTCAAGTCTTTTTTTTTTCTTATTGAGTCTATTCAAAAACTCGATTTTTAGAATCGATTCGAGTTTTATTCACCCAGCCTAAAAGAAGGATGTTGATTTTGTAGGGATATTTATAACTGGGTGTCCACATTTTTGGATATTTGAAATGTTTGGTATTGGAAATTTTGAGTATCATCCTGCCCTTCAACACCATATATCCGGAAGTCGCATACTTACGGAAGGCGGGTATTTGTATTTTTGAATCACGTATCTAATTCATATTTAATTTATACTATTTTAAATTATATCAGTTTTTTTAAACCCACGTAAAAATAAAAAATTTTAAAATATATATATTATATAATCCACACAGAATCCAAAAATTCAGATTACATAATATAAAGATATACTTTTAAAATATAAAAGTAGAACGTAAAAAAAATAAATCTAAAAAATCAACGGATCAAATAATTCATGTCTGATATTTTTTACACACTAAATTTCAGTATAGTTTTTGAATTTTTTTAAAATTTTATGCAGAATGTTGTAGAAACAACGTAATTCGTGATTTTAATAGTGTTAAAACGTTTTCATTTTAAAAGAGAAAATTCCATATATAAGTTAAAGAAATCAAGAAATACCAAAACAAAATGTAGACCCACAAAAAAAATAAAGGTTTTTTTTTTTTTGTGGGTGGAGGGAGGGGGAAAGAGAACATTAACGTCATGCTAATTGCATCTTCTGGATAAAAATTGACCACCCCAATTGACAAAACAAATAAAAACAAAAATTTTAAAATAAAAGCAACATTTAGCACTAATTTAATCTAATGATTCAGTGTACTGACACGTGTCTATGGATGAAGAAACAATGTCATCTCTTATCACATTAAAAAAATCTCCCTTGGAATTAAATGCCACTAAATCCATCTCCACCGGGAAAAGGCAGTTCGGTGATAGTAAGCTAAGCTATGAAACCCCAATCACTTTACCCCCCCTTTCTTCTGCGTTTCTTCTTCGCTTTGCTGTGCACAGAGGCGCCGCATAATGAAGCTCCGATCAACGGAGGTACCATCGTTTTTACGACACTTGGCCGACCGGATTACGATTGGGACATCTTCACGCTTCCAACTTCCGACCCACCAAGTCCTTCAAATGAACTCCGGGTTACCGACGGTGAATCCGTTAACTTCAATGGCCACTTCCCCTCGTCCTCACCTTCCTCTATTCTCTCGCTGTTGCACAACCGAAGCCTAATTCAAGCCCCAAAAGCTCCGCTGCCGGCGCTTCAGCTCATCTATGTGACGGAACGCAACGGTACGTCCAATATTTACTATGACGCGTTTTATTACAGTACGCCGAGAAGTACTAGATCGAGATCGGCACTTGAAATTCCCGTCCGACTTCAGGCACCTTTGTTGAGTTTAGAAGCAAACAGGAATCGGGTTTCGATGAAAGATAAGCCGAGTTTGAGTGGGGAGAATTTGATTTATGTGTCGAATCATGAGGATCCGGGTGAACCCAGGACGAGTTGGGCTGCTGTGTACTCCACTCATTTAGGAACCGGATTGACTCGACGACTCACTCCTCACGGAATCGCCGATTTTAGCCCCGCCGTGTCTCCGTCTGGGGTCTGGACAGCCGTGGCTTCGTATGGGAGGGATGGTTGGGATGGGGAAGTGGAAGAACTGAGTACCGATGTATATGTTTTCTTGACTCGTGATGGGAGTCACCGAGTCAAGATTGTTGAACATGGTGGGTGGCCTTGCTGGGTTGATGACTCAACTCTGTATTTCCATAGGCGAAGTGAAGACCAGTGGATAAGTGTTTATAAAGCGACTTTACCTAAACACAAACCGGTTTCGATCGAGGCAGTGACAATTCAACGAGTCACACCACCGGGTCTCCACGCTTTCACCCCAGCTACTTCTCCAGGTAACTATAATTTCATAGCAGTAGCTACAAGAAGACCCAATTCTAGTTTTCGCCACATTGAGCTATTTGACACTGTTAAGAACGAGTTCATTGAGCTAACTCGACATGTTTCTCCTACAAGTCATCACTTAAACCCGTTTATATCACCCGACTCAACCCGAGTTGGGTACCATAAGTGTAGGGGAGGAAGTAACGGAGGAAAAACTTCCCAATTATTGCTTGAAAATGTTGAAAGCCCAGTGCCAAATCTCTCTCTTTTTAGAGTCGAGGGTTCATTTCCTAGTTTCTCACCAACGGGTGACCGAATAGCCTACGTGGAGTTCCCTGGTATTTATATTGTGAACCGTGACGGATCAAATCTACGCAAGGTTTTCTCCTTGAATGCTTTTGCAACCGCATGGGACCCGATCCGGCAAGGAATTGTATACACAGTAGTAGAGTCAAGAAACGGAAATTTATGGCTTTTGCCAATGAAACACGCTTCACACATGTTATTCATATCTTTAGAAAGCAATACATCAATTGTTTTACAAACACTAGAAACAATATTGTACGTTTCATGTCCTAATTGATGATGCCAAAGTTCTAAGCTATTTGTAGCAACAGCAGAATGAGCAGCAACATTTTGACAAGCACCTGCGACTTGATCTCCTGAGAAAACGTACAAGCCACCCTCAATACGACCACGCAGTAGAATGTCCTTAGAAGCAGCATCACGAACATAGCATCCCTGAGCATGAAACTCAAAGAACACCCCACTGTACCTAGCAAACTTAGACACCGAGAGAATATTCTGTGTTATTTGAGGCACATAAAGCAGATCATTCAACAACAATGACCTGGTTGATGTTTCTAAAGTAGCATCACCAATCATATTAACATGTAATGAGAGACCATCACCAACCACTAGCTTACCTGGTTGATGTTTCTAAAAGACCATCACCAATCATATTAACATGTAATGAGAGACCATCACCAACCACTAGCATCACCAGGATCTTCGACGATTGATACCATGTTAAGAAATCAACAAGTTCATCAATTTTAGAATGTACATACAAGCATATCATTTACAAGACCTTGTATGTTGTTTTATACAGCTCACACGGCTACACTAACTGCTGCGAACTAAACTAACAGAATCAAGTAACAGACTAACAACACTAACAATCTCAACTGCTAACTAACACTAAGAACCACATCAGTTACAACTGCCCGAGCTCAGCTATGCCTAACAGTCCGCAAGACAATAGTGGGCAGCTTCACATGCTGGGCTATTGCTTCAGAGAAATACATGCATTCATCATAGATAACGCAGGGGCCTTGTCCCACCATCTTGGCCAAGCATTCCTGGAAGGGCACTCGACATTTCTCGTTAAGAAGTGATATAAAAAACAGTAAATTGTCCGTAGAAACAACCTGATCGGAAAGTTTATCGGGTATGGTACGAAGCAAAATTCGGGATAGTTGGAGCTGATGGGGAGATTGAACGTGGTGTGAACAACTGTGATGGAGAACCCTTTAGAGTGAAGAATGGAGCCGAGCTGAAGCATTGGATTGATGTGGCCTTGGAACGGCAATGGTTCCTCCATTCTTCTTCTTCCTTTCCCATATTTGTTTTCCTGGAAAAACTCTAATAATTGAGCCAAAGGTTGTCAAATCTCAGATCTTATCTGCAAATAATTTTTAATAGATAAATAGTTTTTCTCATGGGTCATGTTGGTTTTGTCTAATTTTATTTGAAATGTCTTTTTATAATGGTAATCTTTTTAATATATATGGTACATATAAATTCGATTTGTCATTTTCAATCAAATATTTAACATCTAAAGAGAATCAACTTGAAAATGTCATTTTCAACCATTTATTAGGGTAAACTATGTATTTAGTCACTCAATTATCACTTTGGTCTTATTTTGGTCACTTAATTATTTTTGTTTTTCATAATTAGTGGTGAATTGCAAGGAATGACATTTATATTTGTCATATTTTCTAATGACTCCATACAAGACAATGTTGCCATCAAACACTATTATATTATATCTTTATATTTTTAATTTATATTTTTTCTTAAGTTTTAAGGATTTTTTAAAAATTAAACTAATTGAAACTAATTTTGATTGTTTTAACTTCGTATCATTACTCTTCTCGGTTATTTTGTTCCTTTACATAAAAATTTAAAAAAAATAAAATGATAAAATTTTTAAAAATATTAAAATATAAAATATGGAAAAAATGTATAATAGATGATGCCAACTTAACATTATTTGTTTATCGGTTACTTTAATGATTTCAAAGGTAAAAAAGACGAAAAATGTTTAAGGGTTATGTCAACACACATTTTTCGTCCTACTAAGATTCAAACTCCTAAAAATATGATAGAATTTTAGGATTCAAACTCCTAAAGATATGATAGAATTTTGCTAGGATTCAAAAAATATGATAGAATTTTATGATTTAAACTCCTAAAGATAGGATCCACAAGCACTATAAATAGCCATTGTAACTCACCATTGTAAGACACGATTTACACACAAAACATAGAGGAAAGCACGAGAAGATACAAAGACAAAGCTATTGTAAACGATTCGAAAAATAAATAAAAGGTAGTATCTTTTTTACTTTTGATTTGGTCTCTTACATTTACGTTTTAATTATTATTATTTTATTTATTTAACTTTATTTATAAGCACATTTTCCCTTGTTACTCATTTTATTTAATTGTTTTGTTATTTTTCTTTTCTTTTCATGTAATATTTTTTTTACATTTTATGTATTTTCTTTTTTACTTTAGTATATATTTATTTTATTTTAGATTATATATAAATATATTATTTTTATTATCAGTTTTATTAATTTATATATATATATATATATTACTTTTTTTATTTTTTATTTATATATATATTATTTTTACTTTTTTATTATTATTTTATTTATTTGTTTTATTTCTATATTTTTTCTTTTTCTTTATTTTTTATATTTATTTTACTTACTATTTTATCTTTGTTTTCTTTATCTTATCTTTTATTTAATTTGTTTTCTCTTTATTTTAATTTAATTAATTTATTTATTTCTTACCTTTTTATCTATTACCTTTTTATCTAACATGGTTTTTTGACCTTCTTAAGGCCACACCTTTAAAACTATCTAAGGTAAGTAATTGTGATCGTATTTTTACCTTTTAATTTTAAATTACAATTTTCTTAATTTAAGACAACCGGCAAATTACGTAGTACCGAAAGGGCGGTTCAAGGGTGCTAATCCTTCCTTGACCGTAATCGACTCCCGAATCCGACATATCTTTAGGTAAGACGCAGATCAGGTAAGATATAAGGTATCCGGTTAACCTATTTATTTTTTAAATAAATAATCGGTGGCGACTCCAATCACATTTTTCAAGTCGAAGCCCAATTCCGGGGCCCAACCGAAAGACGGTTACGACAGCTTGGCGACTCCGCTGGGGACACAGGTAAGTGAGTCAGGCTAAGGTAATTTCCAGTTGTCTTTTTAACGAAAAGGGTAAGTTTAAATTTTATGGTAACCTTTCGATCCTTATTGCTTACTTTTGATTATATTTTTTTCGAGTAAATAATTGTACTGACCGTTTTTTAATTATTTCAGCCCTTAAAGATTTTTCATCCAAAGGCTCTATACCCGAGCTCCGAACCCGTTTTAAGTGGGGGTGAAAGCGACGCCTTCGTGTGAATTTATTCATCGTATGGGCCTAGCAAGTAACCTTCGGGATTCATATACCTTATGCATTCGTGTGAATTTATTCTCCGTATGGGCATAAGGGAATGTTTCCTCTCAAGTTTAACTTAGTCCACACAAGCCTGTGATGGGTTTAGTACTAAGGGTCTGGTAAGCCCAAGGGGGCACCGACAAGGAGAACTCGAGTGCCTTTTTCTAGAACCTAAACCCGGAGACTACAAGGAGTTAGGGCCCACCCCAAAACCTCATTTTAAACCCTAGGATACCGAAATTATTTTCCGCTTTACTTTCTGTTCAAAACATGTGAACTAGAAATTTATGCGGTTAGGACTTGTTCAAAATCAACTTGCGGGATAGAGATCATGTCCGGGTAGGAATAATAAGCATGTGGGGTAGATATCATGTGGGGTAAGACTTTTATTTTCATGATTGCTTTGATTATTATCTTTACCTTACTAACTCTTTTCATTTTTTTCATCTCTTTTATTTTATTTTAATCATCTGCATCATTCAAAAGAGATGTTAATCCACCAAAAAACGTGTTCGTTAACCATAAATAATCTGCATTAATGGAAAAAGGTGTTGTAATACAGGAGATTAAAAACCCCGAGGTACGACTATGGTCCGAAAAGGCTCAGAAAGAAAATGAGGACAATTTGCAAGACAACTATGTGTCACATTCATGGTGCCCACAATCAAGTACATCAAAAGTTAACTTTTCAAAAATGGGTTGACAAAGGTGGCAGGGGCAAGACGAGAAAAAGGTTACTGACCTAGAGAGTCCATTCAAAGACAACAAGAACAAGATGGCAAGTAACTGTCGACAAATTCAAGAAACAAGCAAATGAACTTCGAATAATCCATTTGATGGAGGATTTCAATGGAATTTCCGATTCAGCAAAGGATGAAAGCCAGAGATGAAGTCATTCGACACTTTTTGGTAACCAATACAAAAAAACTCAACATTTTCACGGTTCATCCAGAGAGGTCGGAGTAGTTCGACAGGTTATTCAACCGGTGAAAGACGAAGGCAAATGACTAGTCAACCGGTTCCGGGCCTAGAGGATTTAGTCTGGATGTACCTTTAAATATGTTTATTGTCTCTTAAAAGATAAAACACTTTTGTCCCAATAAAGGTTATTTACAATAACATACATGTTTTTGGATCAATGCCTCGAACATTTCATGCATTTTTTCATTTTGCATATACATTTCATTTTTTAAGTATTTTCATAAACATGAAATCTCTTCATGGAGAATTCGATGAAGTGGTTTTAACCACATGACACCACATGGAAGCAAGATTGTAACATCATAAAAAAAACTATCACAACGAATGAGCCCAATCAGCTGGTTGTACGACTAAACCTGCCAAGATGATCTGAGAAAAAAGTCCACATATCCTAAGGGCTACAATGTTGAAGCTATTTGTAGTTGCCACATAGGATGCTCCAAACATTCCTCTGAGAACTATAAGGCGCTGAAGTGCAAGATCCAAAACCTGATGGATTCAGGGGCATTGACAGCTGAAGAAGGGGGCATGTCATATACCATTTGCACTTAGAGGATTGTTTTGTTTGAACACGTCACTGATATTTCATGTTTGCTTAATCTTTTAAACGATTGAATTTATGCTACTTTCTAAGGTGGAGCAATTGAACAAATTTTAATCTTTAGTTCTTCGAATATTAAATGAATTAATGATTCTTTTAACTCTTCAAGAATTATAGATTTTTGACATATGACAAGATTAGACATTTCTTATCATGTCTCAAACCCCAAAATGAAAAACCTTGATCATTACCAAAAAGACCAAAATTTGACATAACTTCCCTTTGAAATTCTTGAACATTTTCTTTATCTTTTTGATACACC